TGGTGGGTGAAATAGTCTCAGTGAAATGCACATCCACTCTAAATCAACACTAAATTATTTTCAGTGTTTTCTTGCATGTTTTACAAATTTTGAAATGTTCAGCTGAAGAAGCTCTTTTCAGCTGGAAATCAATGAGTTGTCATAGCTGTTTGATACAAAAATGGCCAATTCATAAAATTGTGAATAAAACAAAACTGAAAGGGGGATGAAAATGTTTTTTGAAATCCAGCAGAATAAAACTGTTCACTGAAAGTAATAGAAAGAACTAAAAAAAGAAAAAAAATATGAAAACCCCAGCAAATCAATATTATCAACAATGTACAGAGTAGCTTGTAGAAGATGCTACCTTCCTCAGAACACTTCTCTAAAAATACCTGAAACAAAAATGCCAGATGGGTGAAGCAATAGGAGGAACTGGTATTAATATAGATCATAAATTAATATATTTATCATAAATAATGTATTGTAATAAATGTATTTATTATGATTTATAATTTATATTTAAAGTGACATTAATTCACCATCAATTTTGCTACTTTGAGGTCTGCCCTTAATAGTTACCTCTCCCGTGATGACTCTAGGACACTGCCAGCTCATAACAGCAGGTAGTGAGACAGAACAAAAGCTCTTTTGTTTAATATACATTACCTTACCCTCTACTTTTCTTTCTTCTTCCCACAGCCCTGGGCCAACCCCCGTTTTGTTGTGCAGTTACAAAAAAACAAAAAAAAACCCCAATGCTGTTACCAAAGGTGACAGTATCTCCAAAACCATTCAGAATTCAGAAATGAGAAATAAGGATATCTGGCTTTCCTCTCTACCACATCCACATAGACAAACACTACATATTTCTTCTTTACAATGTTAAGGAAATGTGCTTTCTAGTCATATGGGTTTGACACTGAACTGTTGGCAATCAATGAGCCATCAGCACTACAGATCTCTAATAATGACAGCACAAAAAATAGCCTTACCTTTGTTTGCATGAACTTAATGCTGAAAAAATGTGGTGGCAGTTAATGCATTGCAAAGAATTAAATCAGTGTATAATGTTCCTAAACAGAACTACTAAAAATAATGATGACTGTCTTCATAAAGGAGGTGATTTCACTGCAGTCTGGGTAGCACTTGATGTTGTAATGTGATTTGAAGGCTGCCTGTGGATCTCTGGTAAACTGAATTCATGCGTCTTTTTCCAGTTATTCAGGAAAGCTGTATTGTTGTGCTTCCTTTGAAATCTTTGTACTGGAGGATTTCCACCATCCTTGATGAGGGCATAGACATGTCTGATGGTCAGGGTTATAGAGTGCATCCATATGTAGTTCCAGGGTGTCTGAAGTTAGTCTCTGGACACTGATAACATAAGGTGTGGTCTACCAAAGGAGGCTTTTTATTAGTCACATCTTTAGCTAGTGAAGGCAGGGAAGCATATAATTTAAAACATTTTCATGCCTTCAAACATTTTAGGTATGTTTAAAGACATCAAAAAGACCAAAATAGAAGGAAAAAGAGCAGGGAATTTAAGGTCCTCAACAAAACAAACTGTGTAAGGAACATTAAAAAATTCAGAGAGGATAAAACAGAAAGAAGGGGAAAATAAATGAACTGCAAGCCTAGAAGTAGCATATTCAAATGCTTGTAGAGCTGCATAATTAAAGAATCACTGAAGATGATTATAAGGGATAAGAGAAAGGAATGACAATATGCATGCATATTCAGGGTACATCCTCTACTAGTTATACTGACTGACTTTTGTTCTGTGTTTGTACAGAGATAATGCAACGGGTCTTCATCTATACCTCGGCATATCAAACAAATAATAGCAACAATTATCTGTTTACAAGAAATGTACTCAGACTTCATGGTATTTTTTTTAACAAGAGAGGTAGCTAGCCATTGAATGTGAACTCAGGATGAAGGAAGGATACATATGATAATTCTGAAACTGTATGCATCTCCGATTTAGTTAGTACATACAGTGCAAATTTAGCTGCCTTGTGCATTTATTTACTAAGCACCTATAGGACCTTTTCCTGCTCCAAACAGTGGCATACCTAGACCCCTGATGGCCCCAAGCAAACTTTTAGTATCAGGCCCCCCTTCACCAGAGATGATTATAATAATCGGACTTGTTGCAAAAGTCTTTATCACATCTGCAGTATCGATGTCTTTAAATAGTTCATTCTCAATTGATAACATTGCCAGTCTCATATATGCTCAATATTAAAACTTTTTTTTGCAATTGTAATTTTTTTTTTTTCATTTTCGGGCCTCCTTTCTGTCCAGGTCCCAGGTGGCCACCCAGTTCACCCATGCCTGTGTCCCCGTCTGGCTCCAAGTAGCATCAACCGAAGTTTTGTCATTGACTTCAGTTGGCTTTTAGGAGGAGGACTAACTCCACCAACTTAGAAACTAAGTAAACTTTGCTATGCTCTTATGACTCGTAATATTATCTCTCTTTAATAAAAAATACTTTGGATGATATTTGGTACCTGGGAGGACCAAACTACCTTCATCCAGCCAAACTGCACAGCGCAGATCAAGCAGAAACTAGTGCTGAACATACTTTTGCACTCCCTCAGTCCTGTGGTTGCTGCATGTGTGGCCTGTTCCACACCATTAGATGGAGGAGCTTCATGTCTTCTCTGAATTAATCTGGCTTCTAATGGTGTGAAGGGGTTAAAACTCCAGAGAGAGATTGGCAGTGCTTAGAAGCCTCTTCACCATATTGTAGTTTTTCTGGCTTTTTCCTTGACCTTAGAAGCAGGAAGGAGTGATGCAGAAGACTATGTAAGTGAGAGACAGCATTATAGGGCAGCAATAGTGATGAATACAACAGAATCGTCATGTCTACAGCTGAGTTCAACAGGATAATTTTTACTTTTCAAAGTGAATAAGTGTACACAGAAATAGGCCACATAAGATACAGCATAATACTTGTAAATTTCTAAGAGCAGAATTTTTACGGCAAGAAGCTGGGGTGTTTAGTTTTTGACAGAGTTTGGTGTCAAACTCATTTCAGACCATTTTGAACCAGATTCTGATTTATTACTGTAGTGGCAATCCAAACACTTTTGACTATGGTGAAGTTATCATGAAATTAAACCACAATAAAACAGATGCAAATCAGGACTCGTGTGTCCAAAAGCAAGTCTGTCTGGGGAAATGCTGCATACAGCATATTTAGTGATAAAACAAATAGGCATGTATCCACATTTCAAGATGCTACCTAAACTTCTTATTCCTATTTGTTCAAATTTAGAAGTACAGCTAGAAAAATTGGTGCATGTAGGCTTTCCTTTAATATATTTGTATATATTGGTTTTATTTTTTCTGTGCAGTTTGGGAGCCAACAAAAGATGTGGATGAAAATATGAACATTTGACTCAGGGTGAAACATGGACAGTTTCACTTGTTATATTGTGTGGAAGGATTTTTTTTTTATCATGTACACTTAGTGAGAAACACCAATACAAGATCTGTACGACATAGACCACTTAGACCACTTCGCCCAAGCAATAAAACAAATGTTAAAGGTCTGCCTTTTTCAGTACTGTAAAGCACTGGATGGCTACATTTCTGGGAAACAATTTTAAAGTATTGGCTTATCTTGTTGTTCTTTTTCTAAAAAGTGAGAGGAAGAGACACTGACTTTCTGACTACACCTGCACTGAAAGTGCTCCCAGTATGGTAGTGGCACACTCCCAACATCTGCGCCTTTCATTGAACTTAGCTGCAAATTGAAATTCCATTGCAGTGTTTTTAGACTCAGTTGAAGTAAGGAGACTGTCAGAAATCCTCTTTAAACTCGCCCTTATCCAAACAGGAAGCTGACCCCTGACCCCCGGACGTAACAGTACACCAGTGGAAATTTCATTATCCCTGTTTCAGCTGTACTAAGTGAAAATTAATTGTGTAATTATCTGGATGAGCGCATGTGTAAAATTTTACAATGTGCCAGTTAGATTAAGTAACGTGTTAGTGGCATGGTTTAGTGCAGAGTCAAGGCTGTCTTATAAAAACTGCATAAAAAATCCAACAAGATTTGAAGGAAAAAAACGTAAGTCTGAACAAATGTTAACATGAGAAAGCAATGTAATACTTAATACCACAAACTGACTAAAATTTTAGCCTTCCCCTGATGTAGAAGAGATCTTTAGTCCATCACTTTCAAATTGGATAAGTTAATTACCAAAATGTTAGGTGACACAGCTTGGCATTTTGGTCATACACATTTTAGACTTGATAAACCAAATAGAAACCTTGGTAACATGAATAAAACATTTCCCTGTACTACCTGCATGTCACCATTCACTTGTACAGTGAATCACTCCATTTCTTCTCTTCATAGTATTAATGCTTACTCCCAGTAACAGAGAAGTGACTGTTTAAGCTAAGCAAACCAAAATGCAGAATACAAAGTTGATCAGGTCATATATCCAGTGCATGAGGCATTTAGATACTGAGCCTACCTCTCTCATAGAGGTTTTAAGGGACAGACTTTCTAGAGCCCTGGGAAATCCTAAAACCGCTATTTAATGGAGACGATTTCCATTTCAAAGCGCCTGCCTTGTTTGGATTACAGGATCTCTGGGCAAAAGGTGCTACTCACATAGATCCAAGCCCTTTGAAAAGCAATATTCTCTTTAAACAGCTTGGCACGTAGGGCACTAGTTTTTTATCAGTCTTAGTGTCAAGGGGGTTTATTTTAGTAATTCCAAACAAATCCATTGCTAACACTTCATGAAAGTAATACAACTATTAATCCATGATATAATTCCACTGAAATCAGTGACTACATCCAGGAGGTCTTAATAACACAGTGTGGGGTACACGGAGGAGCCAAGTGTGAATTCATTTCTGAAGTGGATTTTAAATACAGTGGATTCATCCTGTTGTTATAAGAGCACAGGACAGGATTTTCAAAAGCTCCCTGTGTAATTAGATTGCAGAAGAACTTTTGAGAACCAATAAAATATTTGTGTTATTAAATGGACCACTATATATTTTTATCAGTGGTCACCT